GTTAATTTAAGCCCTGTGTTTTCCCTCAGTGTTTGTTGATCGTCGTCCTTGTATGGTTGTTTTCACTGAAGTCCTGGAGTTTTGTTCTTTTGTTCTTGTATGTTCCAGAAAGTTCAATTTGTAAATAAATCAACTATACTGCTATTCCTGTGTCCTTGTCTTCAGCTTCCTGCAACAACCTGACACAAACACTCACACTAAGCTTTCAGCCTCTTGGTTTCCTAAATATATTTTGATGTGCTTATAAAACCATTAACCTGTTCTGGAAACCGTTATGGACTGATGGGGTCCATTTGCTCTCTTTTAACTTTGATAAGTAGGAAATTCTGTTTTTGTAATCATAAAGTTGTAAACAAAAGGTATTGGTAAAATAACAGAACGTGTGGATATAGTATTGGAAGAGAAGCTGGTGAGAAGCTCATTGCTGAGACTTGTTTTTGGGGGACTTCATAGTCACTCTCTAGGAGAAACAACTGAGATCTCATTTGTCTTTTTTCTTTCCTATAATGGGTCAAGGTCATGGTAAGAACAAAGACTGCAGTGAAGACAGACAGAAAAAAAGAAATCACATATTTGCACTGCAAACATCAATCTGCACCTAAGATCAAAAAGCAAGCATCAGGCTTCACTTCAGCCTAGAAGCTGCGAGACCATTCATCAGCACTCAGGCTCTGTTTCACCCTTTGTTTGCATTCATCTGTCCTTTGGTGAATCACACACACACACACCTAAGGCGCCGTGAGGAGCACAACCTTCCCTACAACCACACCCCTAACTGCCTCCAAGAAAATGGCAGGTTGTTAATGTCAAGAAGCTTTTGCAAGTCTATGTCAGCGAGTCATATTGCCTGCGGTCATGTCTGACCTTTGCTCTCCTCTCTGGACAGACCTACTATATCATCTAACACCAACTGTGGGAGGTGCAGAGGACCTTTGATGATGGAGACATGTGACCATGTACGTGAACAGAATTGGATGAGCCAGAAGCAATATAGGGCTATAAGTTGAAAGCATTGAGCCATTTTGCTTCGGCACAGCTCCAGCAGCGTTATTCCGAGCAAGCCTCATACACTCACCGGCCACTTTATTAGGTACCCCATGCTAGTAACGGGTTGGACCCCCTTTTGCCTTCAGAACTGCCTCAATTCTTCGTGGCATAGATTCAACAAGGTGCTGGAAGCATTCCTCAGGGAGTTTGGTCCATATTGACATGATGGCATCACACAGTTGCCGCAGATTTGTCGGCTGCACATCCATGATGCGAATCTCCCGTTCCACCACATCCCAAAGATGCTCTATTGGGTTGAGATCTGGTGACTGTGGAGGCCATTTTAGTACAGTGAACTCATTGTCATGTTCAAGAAACCAATTTGAAATGATTAGAGCTTTGTGACATGGTGGAAGTAGCCATCAGAGGATGGGTACATGGTGGCCATAAAGGGATGGACATGGTCAGAAACAATGCTCAGGTAGGCCGTGGCATTTAAACGATGCCCAATTGGCACTAAGGGGCCTAAAGTGTGCCAGGAAAACATCCCCCACACCATTACACCACCACCACCAGCCTGCACAGTGGTAACAAGGCATGATGGTTCCATGTTCTCATTCTGTTTACGCCAAATTCTGACTCTAACATCTGAATGTCTCAACAGAAATCGAGACTCATCAGACCAGGCAACATTTTTCCAGTCTTCAACTGTTCAATTTTGGTGAGCTCTTGCAAATTGTAGCCTCTTTTTCCTATTTGTAGTGGAGATGAGTGGTACCCGGTGGAGTCTTCTGCTGTTGTAGCCCATCCGCCTCAAGGTTGTGCGTGTTGTGGCTTCACAAATGCTTTGCTGCATACCTCGGTTGTAACGAGTGGTTATTTCAGTCACTGTTGCCCTTCTATCAGCTCGAACCAGTCTGGCCATTCTCCTCTGACCTCTGGCATCAACAAGGCATTTCCGCCCACAGAACTGCCGCTCACTGGATGTTTTTTCTTTTTCGGACCATTCTCTGTAAACCCTAGAGATGGTTGTGCATGAAAATCCCAGTAGATTAGCAGTTTCTGAAATACTCAGACCAGCCCTTCTGGCACCAACAATCATGCCACGTTCAAAGTCACTCAAATCACCTTTCTTCCCCATACTGATGCTCGGTTTGAACTGCAGGAGATTGTCTTGACCATGTCTACATGCCTAAATGCACTGAGTTGCCGCCATGTGATTGGCTGCTTAGAAATTAAGTGTTAACGAGCAGTTGGACAGGTGTACCTAATAAAGTGGCCGGTGAGTGTATAAGCTCATATATAATAGGCTTTATGCACAGCTGCACTACTTCCTAAACTTCAGCCAGCTCATTGTTTCCTGTCTGACATTATCGGACAAACTGATTAATCCAGGTGTGCCTGACCAGTAACAAATACCAGACACACCTGGGTTAATCAGTTTGTCCAATAATGTCAGACAGGAAACAAGGAGCTGGCTGAAGTTCAGGAAGTAGTGCAGCTGGGCATAAAGCCTATTGCAATGAAGAAAATGTTTGCTCTGCTAACAAAAAAACACAGGTGGAAGCGGTACATTTCAAAAGTCTACTTCAAACTTAAGAGAGTCGAGAGTTAAGTTCAATGATTCACAAGGGAATAAACTGGAGTGGAGAAGATTAGGCTGCTAGGTCTTTAAATGAAAGCAAAAAATTGTCTAAACATGCTGAGGTATGAGTTTTTATTTTTGCTTATTTGACCCTAATCCACGTAGCTGTGATATGACAAAACCATTAATATGTGGTTTGAAATTCAATCGGAAAAGCTAATAAAAAAATTGGAATTGAATTCCAGTCTGAACTGTGAGACTAGATTTGAAGTAGTGTGACGTCTTGAACATGCAAGAGTTCCTTCATTTTCCATGAATTCACTCACTTACATTGACATGCACCATACAATATAGTGAATGAGTGAACAGTTTTGTGACACTGTATATGCTTGAATGAGTAAATAGTACAGTAATGCTTCTGTTGTCACATGTTGTCTCATGCACTTCATGGTGAGATACAGTAGGTGTAATGGCATGAAGGATGTAAAGATCAGAGTTGCAAGAATGAATACAGTATGTGTATAATATCATAAATGCCTCTTCTAATTATTCACACTGCTAATATTGTCCTGTAACCGAGATACACAGAGAACAAGGAAGAACAGCATAAGAGCATAGCTGGTTATTCTATTCAGGAATGACTTTGAGAATGTGATGTAATAAACATTAATGTCTTATGATATAATGTCTTAAGTCTTACAAAGGGGGGAGAGATCACATTTTAATCTAGTGAACTTTGATGCCACATTGACCTAAAGCCTATCAAACAATACAAAATGCACCAACATATACTGTGAACATACTTTCATTATGTTTCAGCAACGTTGTGTTTCCATACATTACTATTACTGAATATTTTCTGTAATTTCAACTACATTTAATGGGTTTTATGAGTTTAATCAATATGATTTCAGTATAATCAATAGTAGTAATGTGCAATTACCTCATCACTGCAGGTTGTAAAACCAGTTTGATCAAGGCACCAATTCAACTTTCAATTTTAGAGGGTTGAAATTGTTTACAGTCTATAGGACAGGCAGAGATTACACAAAATCAGGCTTAACAGATAAGAAGGGAAAGATATAAATAGTCAGAGAACATACAAAAAATTCTCTAAAACAAAGGCAAAATATTGTCATCTCGGCCGATGTGTGCAATTGAAGCTTTTATTTTTTATTCACAGAGGAAAGCCTGGCCAACTCCTCTTCTCCCATTATGAAGATGGGCTGACACATTGCTTCAAGTGCCAATACCAATAATTCCCCATTGCCACAGGGAGCTGCATGACATCAAGGTTCATGGTGATTTGGACACTCGCTCTAGCTATTTATCCAGTGGAAAAGAATGTTTAATCCAAATGAATGCGTGCAAGTTCCACGCCAGGAAAATGTGAAAGGGTTTAGAGCAGTGATCTGTGCATTTTTCGCTTTCTTGGCCTAGTAATGACATCATTTAAGCTTGCGGACACACGCAAATGCACTCACTCAGACAAACACACTCAGACTCAGACATAAACTGCATAAATCGTAATCATTGTTTTGTCCTAAAGACATCTTGACAGTACTAATGAATGTGTGCACTGTTGCTTAAAACATTAATAATTATCGTGTGATGGAATTGCAAAGACTACAAGCAGGCACATGATCACACGTTCACTTCTCAAACCTCGTATTCTCTGTCTGCAGGGTGAACAAAATCAATACAAGTAACTCATAGTGAATATCACTGGGCTATTTTGAGAAAAACAGAAACAATTCCTCAAAATCCTGCTAAGAGTACAAATAACTCAAAATACAATGCAGGCAGGTCCCTGGTGTATTGAAAATACACTACCAGTTCTCAGTTATTGTTATGAATATCACCTCACTTGACCAGACCTCAAACACAAAACTTCATGTTGTACTTCAGAGCCATCACTAGGGGATGCTCTTGTATCTAAGGGGGGGGGAAATTCTACCAGATAACCATAAGGGTAGAAAGAGTATAAAAAAAACCCAAGATGGATACATTTTTGTTGGCATCTACTTGTTTTGTTATTTCATAAATCCCAGCAAAAACATTCAGTTCATTTGCAGAAGGAATTCTGTTGCCATAGAAACCACATTAGCTCTTCCTGGCCAGTATTCATGTCCATATGTGAATACTGAGTATAATAGGTTATACATGCTCTGAAAAGTTGTGTTATGCAAAATCTCTGATGCATACTGCAGAACATTTACTGCAAAATTATCATACAAGAACCACTGATATATGAAGTACACACTCACGGATGTAGTGGCAAACTGTTCATTAAAATAATTTGATGAAAGCTAATGGATTTATAATCGATAACTTTTTTAAATGAAACATAACTTACCTGGAACAGAGAGCTTGGGAAAGGGGGGGTTACAAAAATGTGTCTCAAACAGGACAGCATGATGACACTTACCATATTCACTTCTGATACCATGTCTATGCTGGCAATGTCTATATTCATCCCCACTCCCACCGGAGGACCTATAAACCAAACCAAATCATATCAATGAGTATACAGCTATTTGATTTTGTTTTGCACACTGAGATAAATTCCATGAGCCATTATTAACTTAATGTCAGCCTGATAACATCCAGGATGTGGTGGAAACTTAACCAAAGATTCTCAAACACACTGATTTCAAAATGATCGTTCAGTATGGCAAGTTCCCAGGTTATATTCATCATCATGATCATCACTGTTTACTGATATTGCTTTTACTTATTAATATGTGCAAATCAGAAGAACCACATGCAGGTAGCACTGGATAAAACGTACATGTTATAAAATAATTCGTCAACTTTGCGAAGCACCACTAATCAAACGTCGATAAGCGATTATTTTAAAACAAGTGAAACCAAGTGTTCAGATCATATCCAAACCTGAAATAATTGGGTCGTATTAGAGCGTAATTCTTCATCGTGGCGCGTTTATGAAAGTTTAGAGGTGATGTTAAAAGGCTGACATAATAAACCTAATTAAAAACGTGCTTTACCTCCAAAATCTGGCCTCAAGCGAATGTCATATCCCTTCAATAGTCTATCAACAGTTTCTTTTACGATAGACATATTGCTTGGATCATTGACACTGTAAAGAGGGAAAATACACCGTTAGATTCAGATGTATCCTTAGAGATCATTTTAGGTGTGTGTGTGTGTGTGTGTGTGTGCGTGCGTGCGTGTGTGTGTATGTGTGTAGAGTACAGACAGCCATATGAAGTGAGGAGAGCTTTTGGATCAGACTTACCTTTGCGCACACACCACAGCCATTATCACGGGGAACGTCCAGACGCGCATAAAGCCCTTTTCTCGTATTCTAAAGATCTCCATACTTTTATGTTTTCTGGTTTCCGTGAAGACAGAGAAAATCCAACTTAGAGTGCGCTGTGCAGTAATTCCACTGTGGTGCGCATGCGTACTCCAGCGCAGCATCCAGGAGCGGTATGGCGCTGATGGTGCTAGAAGAGCACTTCCCGACCAGAGACAGGGAAATATTTAAGGGAAAACAACGATAACACCAGAGTGAACAGTAAAATAGATGGCATTATATCTGCATTGTTTGTGCATCATGCAAAAAAGGAGCCCTGTCTTGTCAAGTGGGCTTTAAAAGCTACTTCATGAGCAGTTTTAGTGTTCTTTCTCATCTGTCTTGAAAATTTGACGTAAGGCTCAAAAGTAATTAGTCTTACACAAGATGGAGCAGGAGGCTTGTTTTACCGGTAAAAAAACAACAACACAATAATAATAATAAACTAGGACTTTAATTTGACTTCTGTTGGTCCATGATTCGAGGAGGTGTAGGTGATAAATTGGATATTTAAAAGGGTCGATAGAAATCTAAACCTAGATTACACCATCCCAACACGACAAGGGGAATCCTAAGCAAACCCATCCATTGTGCATGAAGGGGAAAGAGTTCAAAGGAAAAAAAAAAATAGGCTGTGCACCTAATTTGTATTGGCATAAGAATCGTCAAACATTAATTTGTATCTTTGAGTGAAGAAAAGGGCGGTGGGGTGGGGGTTGGAACGGGGTGTTGAAAGGGGGGGGGGGGGGGGGGGGTGATTGTTGATTGTTTATCAACAACAAATGGTGCCAATAACAAAATAAAAGACTAACAGAGGGAAGTGTTTGATATAATATAATAATCACAATTATATTGCTAATCTAAATTATTATTAAGAAATGGGGGTAGGCAATAATATATATATAGCCTATATACATATATACATATAAACAGTTCCTTTCAAAAAAAATTCTAACTATTATTTCTTATGTCAGGCTTGGTTAAATGTTGAAACTTTTACATGGACTCTACATATATCCCTAAATAAATACTTTTTAATCTGAACAATCACAAATGTTCCCTTTCAAATGTTACTCACAATGCTGCGCTGAGTGCTATGGGAAAAACAGCTGTGAAGTATGTGTAGTATTGCTGTAGTCTGCTATGGACCAATCACATGCCAGTGACAATGTATGCTGTGTTCTTATTGGCTATAGCACTTGTCATTACCGTTCATGCAAATTCGCCGTAGTAGATTCAGTTGTGTACTTGCTGCTAGAGAGATAACACTCATGTTCCGAACCTGAAAAAGAGTTTAATAAATCTTCATGCTAAAGTAAAACTCTGCATGCACCCAGACCCTCTTTGTACACTTCATCACTGTAACGTAAACCAGAGATGGGGACTCGAGTTTGAGACTCGGACTCGAGTGCGACTTAAGTCGCACACACAGTGACTTCAGACTCGACTTGAGACTCATCCTCGAAAGACTTCAGACTCGACTCGGACTTGAGCTGCGGGACTCGTGAACAATGTTTATTTTTAGGAAACGTCTGATGAGCTCGCTGTTATTCCCCTCCCTCCGACCCGTTACCTAAAACCTGCCTACATAACACGTACTACGTGTGCGTGGCCACACATGAGAGGACAACAAACAAACATGTCGACTCCACCGGCCGCTGCCGTGCCATTCATCGTAAGCTTTGGGTTTAAAAACTTCAAACAAGACGGGCCAAATAAAAGAAGCGCTCAATGCAAAATATGCGGTATCTGCGCGCGCGCACCTCATAGTGTTCCATGAGGGAGAGAGAGCGCTAGAGGTATGGGTGAACGAGAGAGAGAGAGAGAGAGAGAGAGAGAGAGAGAGAGAGGGACGTGCAAGAGGTAGTGCGGCGCGAATGCGCTACGACGCTCTGCAATCAAATACGATTTTAAATAGGCTTAGTAAAAATAAAATAAAAAATAAAAAATCAATGTGTGGCGGTCAGCCAGTGTTGATATTGTGGCGGGACGCCACAAATTATGGAACGTATGGGGAACCATGTATTTCACATCATTTGGTTCCAATAGTGTTTTGCATTTAGCTACACTGTGATCTTTTGCCTTTTTACTGATGTCAATTTTAGTGCTGTGAGGTAGGCTATAACATTTTCTATATTTGGTCTTATGGCTCCACAGAGCCAGCACAATAGGAGCCAAGGCCTTTCATTATAATTCAGCAACATACATGAGAGTCCTTTTTCTTCAGAACCTCAATTTTTACATACAGATATTAACTTAAAAGTAAAGCATTCTTGGTGTTTTTGTCATGTTGAAATAGCCTGTTTACACTGATTATATACCTAAATCAAAGCTGATACTGTATGCTAATAGATAAAGGAGTCATAATAATATTACATGCTTTGAATTCCTTATATATAGCTATGAAGTGTTCTAAGCAGCCTGGATGGGTCGCTGTACGGGATGCAACACTTATTATAACCACAAGAGACTTGAGACTTGACTTGGACTCTAGTTCAGAGACTTGAGACTTGACTTGGACTCGAGCTCAAAGACTTGAGACTTGACTTGGACTTTAGTTCTACCAGAAAGACTCGGGAGAATAAATACTGTAACAATAAATACATTTATTGATAGCCCAGCAAGCAATAAAGTTCTTTGGCGTCCATAGCTCGCAATCCGAGGGTCCGGACTCTGCATTTCCTGCCTGAAGACGAAGGCAGGGGCGCAGCCGACCCCCTGTGGGGTATAGGAAGGGACCATCCTAGTGGTGGTGGGGAGGATGGAGAGGAAGGGACCATCCTGGTGGTGGGGAGGATGGAGGGGAAGGGACCATCCTGGTGGTGGTGGGGTGGATGGAGGTGAATGAAAGCGTCAGCATCTGCGAACTCAAACATTTGTAAGTACTAGTCTTTTATACCACAAGTATTAGACACGATTGGATAGATGAGAAGGTAATACGTGACGTAGCAATTGAGTCTTCCTGGCAGAACTTAACGCTAAAGCTTCCATTTCTACCAGAAAGACTTGGGAGAATAAATACTGTAACAATAAATACATTTATTGACAGCCCAGCAAGCAATAAAGTTCTTTGGCGTAGGCCCCGTCCATAGCTCGCAATCCGAGGGTCCGGACTCTGCATTTCCTGCCTGAAGACGAAGGCAGGGGCGCAGCCGACCCCCAAAAATAGGTGGAAGATAATTCCACCAGGACGGAGCCCACCAACAAAGAGCGGTAAAGAAAAGTACACCCACCAGTCGTGTATCCTGTAGAGCCTAAAATAGAAAGAAAAGGGAGTTAATAATGGGCATGAACATGAAATGTGGAAAGCCTCGTAGCCAATAACTAATTAGTAAGAGACGACTTCATAGTAAGCCTGAAAGGTACTATGAGAAGACGTGAATAATACATTTTTGTTCTGCTGCTGTATGTACATTAGCATTTATCCATGCTGACGCTTTCATCCAGAGCGACTTATGTTTTGAGACGTACTTACGTCTGATCGAAACCAGTTTCCCTGTGAATGAGTTGGAGGGAAGCAAGTGTTGTGGAACTTAAACTGAGAATGAGGCTAACTTAGGACATAGGGACAGGTCATTGGAACAAAAGCTGTTATAGGACCACAGAGAAAAGGCTACCTTGGCCATACAGAACCGGCCACATGGGACAAGGCCGTAACAGACCGCACAGAGACAAGGTCTCGATGGACCACGCAGAGCCAGGCCACCTTGGCCACACAGAGACACGGCCGCGATGGACCACACAGAACAGCCACATAGGGCCAGGCCTCATGGACCACACAGAGACAAGGCCGCGATGGACCACACAAAACAGAGCCACATTGGGCCAGGCCTCATTGGACCACACAGACAATGCTAAATTGGGCCATGCCTCATTGGACCACACAGAGCAGGCCACCTAGGGCCATACACAGAGCAGGCCTCCTTAGACCGCAAACTGGCCACATTGGACCACACGGCCATGATAGACCACAGAGACAAGGCCGCAATGAGCCACAACGGCCTCTAATGCCGCACATAGAACGAGGTAGACTGGACAAGGCCGCAAGGCCACACAAAACCAGGCCGCAAGGACCACAAGACCACATGGCCATTTTTTAGCGAGGCAACAATGCCTCAAGGCCGCTTGGCCACACAGACAACGGCCACTTGGCCACATTGAACCGTGCCACTAAGGGCCACAGACCACTGGCCATTTTTTACATACAGGACAAGGCAACTTTGTGCCACGAGGCCTCTAGACCCACACAGAGACAAGGCCCGCTGGGCCACAAGGCTGCTAAAGCCATACAGAGACAGAACCACTCATAGACAAGGCCTTAGGCCACATAGAACCAATGCCATAACTGGCCACAAGACCACGGGACAAGGCCATATTAGGCTACACGGTCACAGTAGACCACACTGAGACGAGGTCACACAGGGACAACGGCCACAAGGCCACACAGAACCGAAGCCATAAGGGCCACAAGACCTTGTGGCATAATGTTGCCTTGTCCTATGTGTGGCCTACATGGTCTTGTGGCCCTTATGGCTTCGGTTCTGTGTGGCCTTGTGGCCGTTGTCCCTGTGTGACCTCGTCTCAGTGTGGTCTACTGTGACCGTGTAGCCACACATAGGACAAGGCAACATTATGCCACAAGGTCTTGAGACCCGCACAGAGACAAGGCCCGCTGGGCCACAAGGCTGCTATGGCCACACGGACACAAGGCCAACGAGACACAGCCACTAGGCCACACAGAACCATGCCATAACTGGCAACAAGACCACGGGACAAGGCCACATTAGGCTACACGGTCACAGTAGACCACACTGAACATGTATATCATGCACTTGCATGATTTTTATTTTTTATTAATTTTTTAAGACCATAAAGACCACATGGGACAAGACCACAACGGCTACTACTGCCACATAGAGACAAGGCCACATTAAGACAAGGCCACTAGGCCACATATAGACGATGACTCATTGACCATTTGTAAATGCAAGCAGAATTTAAGACCAATTGTGAGAATGGATTATCATGGCACCACCACCAGTAGTTGAAAAGGTTATTTACCTGAACCGTTTTAGTGAAGAGCTTGCTGAGCTTCGAGGATGATTTTGAATCGGTTCTTATATAGACTCTAATGTAGAGGAAGACCATCTGCCCAGAATCTTAATAGCTGAAGAAGAAATTCCATGATCAGCTGCTGTAGTGGCTGCCCCGATCCTGAAGGAATAACCAGTATACTGGGAGGGAGATAGACTTCAGCTTTTGAGGACAGAAACTGATGAGTCCTGAACTAGGCTTAGAGAGAAGTGTTCCGTTAGTTAGGATAAATGGAGGG